GGGAAAGAGGTTCTGCCTTATCCACTTGGGACCCCAACCACAGCAGTCCAAGATGGGCAAAGTTCTACATCCCATACCCTGGCAGAGGGCAGAGAGGTCACCAAGTGGGAAGTAGCAGTCACAGTCTCACTTGCAAGAGCCCTGGTATTCCCTAAAACCATATCCTTGGCACATCTACCTCTTATGATACTGCGTGCGTGTGTGCGTGCGTGCGTGTGTGTGTGTGTGTGTGTGTGTGTATGCCTGCCTGTCTGCCTGCCTATGTGTCTGGGACATGGCTTCATTTCTGGTGAAGATTCTTTCCAAAATTCCAGCCAAAAGCCTGAGGTCAAGTGGGAAATATGCACTCCTTGGGGGCTCCGGGAGAGTTTGGGGTCTGAGGCCTCTCCTCAGTGCAATGATTCATGGCTTGGGGAATCGGCATGAGCATGCTGTTCCATGGTGAGCCTGGCACTCACTGTCTGGGTATTCAGAGACAATTTCTGGAAAGGGCCCATATGGAACGAACGAACGTGTGCGCGCGCGCACACACACACACACACACAGACACACACAGACACACAGACACACACACACACAGACACACACACACACACACGATGCCCATGATTTCACCAACCTCAGGCTACAGTGTCCACACAATGTATGGTTGAGGTTGGGGAGTAGTGGTGGATGGGTATATGGTACAGCAAACAGAACATCAAACACAAAAAACTGGTATTCCATCCCAAAATCTGCTTTCCTGCTTCCAAACTAAACAGGCTTCAAAGGAGAAGCTTGTTTGTGCTTCTGCACCAGGCGGGGCTTCTCAGTGCTGGGGTCAGGACTAAGGAGCATGGAGCAGGTTAAAGAGCACAAGAAACAAGCAGTGAACGCTGTCCGCTTAACCCTTCATGCTCTGGACACAGGGCAAGAGTCTACTGAGGGAGGCTCACTAAACAGGAGCCCCTGAGAGTCTAAGGCCCTGCCCAAATGAAGAAGGTTCAAAGAGTCTGGCCTAAACTGCTTTAACAGAGTTGTCATTTCCTAACGCCCTTGGGGGTCATCTAATTATTCGGCATGTATCCTCTGGGTTTTCTCATATATTTGCTTCCTCCTCACCAAATCTGGCTTTTTCCACTGAACCATAAGCTCCTCAAGACCAAGAGCTGCAGCTCTACCTTTCACTGGATCCCCCAGGAACAAAGAGACTGTGTACACAGAACAGGTACAATCTGTGCTGGTGACCAAGAATACTACTAGCCTGAGATGGTGTTTGAGGCTCCTTCTAAGTCTTAGGAGCCTCTGAGATGTCAATTCTCTCAGTTATACCATTTCCTGACCATCTAGCAAAAAAGTGACTAATTAACTTTCTTCCCCCTGAAAACATTCTGGGTAGGAAAGCACAGAGAAATTATCTTGAAAGCTGTTCCATCCCAGGGCCCAGGGAGGGGAGAAGGGAAGTCAAACAACTTGATGGTCTTGCTGCTCTGCCTTGGAGAGAAAAGCTGCTTTACTTTTGAAGAACAGAAAATCTTTCTTTATGTCTAAGAGCCTGGGTTTAAGAGGTTCTGGCCAGGCCACATGGGGAGGGGGAAGGAAGACAGGGAGGGTGGAGGCGGGACGAGGGCTGCTTCAGTGCCAACATTCTCAGGTGGTGCTAACGCGTTTCCCACAACCCCCCAGGGTTCTATAGCCTCTGCAGGGGCGGATGTTTCCTGCCCTTTGTTTCCACCCTCATCTGGCACTAAGACACTTGGGACTGGGAGGGAAGGCCCAATGGAACATCTTGGCATGGATGTCAGAGGTGGCTTGGCAGGCAGACTGCCAGTCTGGCTGCTTTTCCAGAGGACAGGGCTCCCGAACTTGCTCCAAGTGGCTGCTGAGAAGGGGACATTAAAACGCCTGGGCTTCTCAATCATCTCCCAGACTCTCTCCCTCTACAGGCTAGCCCTTAGCTGTATTAGCTGATTCAGCTAGATTAGACAGAAGCCCAAAGCCCATCCTGAGGGTGACCTACCTACCACAGAGCTCTAAGAATCAAGGGTACCTAGACAGGTCACTGGAGACAGCTCAGCTGGGCTCCTCTGGCCTAAGGGTGGAAGCAGACTAGCTGGGTCCTGAGATGCTGACCCTGCACCAGCACCAATGACCAGACAGTGGTAAGGGCCCAAGTGGCAGGAATCCACGGGCATGAGCCAAGGGTTTACTCTGGAGGATTTCTGTCAGCCTGGCCTTAGGGTGACATTGGCCAGAAGAATGCTACCTCGAACCAACAGAATGATCATGAAAAGCTACAAGACAATCAGACCAAAGGCATCTAACCACTTCAAAATCCTCCCAGCCTCCCTGCCAGACCACCCAGCAGCATTGCCGTTATCTGCCAGGGCTGAGTGTTTACCAATAACGGGAACCAGCTTTGCTGTTTTACTGCAAGCTTTATAAGGATAAAAACAAGGGCTGGGCTCATGCAGCCTCTGGTTGCTGGGACACAGGAGTCCATTTGCTCAAGCAGTTTAAGCCATGGATCAGCCATAATAATTTGAACTGCTTTGATTATTAAACAATTTTCTTTGCCCCAAACATTCCCTACTTCCCTGCAAATCCTGTCTTACACACACAGCAGGGCTCTGCCTGCTTAGCCCCCCGGCTGGAGACATGTGCATACAGGGGGTTGCTGTGCACGTGCAGGGCTGCTCTGGCCTGACTCACCGATGAGGGGCACCACCAGGATGTACTTCCTGCTCTCCAGCAGCCGTGCCAGACTGGCCAGGTGGTCAATGAAGCCGTTGGTGTCTGGTACAAGGAACAAAGGTCTGATCTCGAGCTCCATCTGCCTCATCTGACTCTGGTCCTCCAGGACAGCCTGCAGGAACACAGAATGGTGAGTGAGCCAGAGAGTGAGCAGGCAAGTGGCTGGGTGAGCCAGGGCCCTGACTCCACAGTGTGTCAGCATCCTGCCCCAAGTCTCTTCCCCCTCCAGAGGAACAACTAGTCCATCAGGCCTGAGGGACAGGCCCAAAGGCTGGACAAAGCACTGCAATAAAAATCAACATAGACCGAATGGCCCAGGGAATAGGGTGTGACTAAAACCCCGCCTAGGACTGAGAAAGGATCTGATGGTATTAAAAATAACAGGTCCTTGAAAGTAAGACCTCGGGCTAAAAATCTACAAGGGTGAGTTAGCATCCTTGGATATGAAAGTGGTTATACATACATTATCTAGGCAGCAAGCATATAGAGGGATATTTCTCGATCTGGACATTCCACACACACCTACCCACCCACCCACCCACCCCATATCCCTAACAGAATTTGTATTTCAATCTACCTGTGTAGTTAAAAAAAGTTAGACTTAAAGGCTATACAAAAAAGCGATGCTGACAACTAATAATTAATACTGAAGTTTCCTACAGCAGCAAGAGTCCATTGGTGTGATGGATTAGGACCCAATTCTCATGTTTGCAAAGAGCAACACATACACTGATCAAAACCTTCGCCCAACCCCCACCATCACAGTGTTTTCTCAATTTTAGTCTTTTGTGTTCTTCTTGTACTTCTCTGCCACAACTCTGTGTAATCTATACTATTATTTACTTGATGTTTTTCTTTATATTGACTTTATTTAAGTCAACTAATTTTTTGCTTAACTTCTTCTTAAGCAATGACATCCATGGTATCAAAGGTTTGACAGTCAAGTCATATGTTTACTAATGCAAGCTAAACTTCCATAACAAAAAAAATCAAAGTGTCTTCTATGCACCACTAAAACTCTATCTCACGTAGCACCAGTGGTCTGTGCACCACACCTTGGAAAGCGTACAGCCTGTTAAGTCTAGTGCTTGTTGGTCTTATGGTTGTCCCCATCTTTTAGGGAAGCTCTATGCGCATCTGAGAAAGCCCAATTTTATCCAGTCTGATAGAGCTTTATGTGTGGCAGTGGCTCTGGGTATGCCTGTCACTGCAGAGCAAAGTCACTATTGTGCTGCTTCCTCTTCTGGGGGTCATGGACAAGAAGCGAACTGATTTGCTGGCATCTGCCCATATAGCATGCTCCCAGTGTAGGGAGCTGGAGGGCACTGACATAAACTTTGCAAGGGCCAGGTGAGTAGGTCCCAGGCCTGTCACGCCCTCTCATGGCATTCTACCAACTTGCAGGGACACAGACACAGGCACGGGGTGGGAAAAGTAGATGTGCGTGCCAAGTGAGATGGGGCCCACAGTTCTGGGCCCTGGCCACTAACAGTCAGTGAGGAAGGTGCTCAGGTTTCACTGGCAATGACAGTAAAACTGAAAGGGCATGTCTTTGAATGCTGGGGGTGGCTTCTCTGTGACCTGCTGGGGACCTCTCCCTATGAGTAAGCCACTGCCACTGCCACCACAGCTGGTGGAAGGCACAAGCCACAGGACGCTGGCAAGCATGAGAAATGCAGCGGAGAGGCCTAGTCTGCTGGTCTTCCTATTGCTCTCATCTCATATGGGGAAAATGCTACCACTGCTGGCTACCTTCCCAGGGACTTGGGTCACTGTCCCTCCCCATGGGGCTGCCAACTAGAGCATGACACACATTCCACCAAACTCGGCTTGGGTATTTCAAAAAATTATTTTTTATTGAGATATAATTAACATATAACATTGTATAATAGAATGGGCATTTTGTAAGAACAGGACATAGTCCCCACTCAGGTTCAGTTAACAGCTACTATTTCTCTTTATACCGAAAAAGAACATCAGCGTTCCTGTTCCTCAGTTTCCCAGCTCTCAATGTTCTCTATCCAGCTTTTCCACTGCCAGAAATGTTTTCCTTGTATCAGAGGCCCTCAAACCTCTTTTTGGGTGAGAGGAGTCGGAAGCACTGGCACCAGTGTGGGAGGGACGAGGGGCTGCACACTACATCCATGCCACTGCCACTGGCCCTTCCACACCGTAGTTTTCCTGCCTCCAGCCGGTTATGACTGAGGAAGTGGAACTAGCTGCCACTTTTGACCTTGTGGGAACAAGCTCTTAAGACCTCATACCATCCTACCTCCAGAGCTGACAGCAGGCAGGAGGGCCTTCAAGTCAGGTGGCCAAAGGAGGCCTGGAGCCTACTTGTGTGTTCTGATGACAGGATAGAAGAAAAATCTAGAAGCAGGGTCCAGAGAAACTCTGAGTTCCTTGAGCTCTGGCTCAGAGCCAGAAAGGTGAACAGAGGCCATAGCCTCTTAGGAAGGTGGCAGCCTTGTTGGTTCCCTAGGGGTGGGGTGGGGGTCGAGCTATATGAGGGTAGTCGGAGCTGTGCTGCCATCATCCGGTCCCAGGGACACCCGCAGACAACTTCCCTTAACCTGGCTCTGCCTAGTGAGTCACCATGCAACTGCTTCCTGTTACCAACATGCCCTCACGGAATCTCAGATTAAATGAAGCTGTTCCCTCTTCTCCTGGGGTATCAGTGGGCCTCTGAGGTGGGGGTCACACCTAGGTCATGAGACTGGCCCAGTGCCCTTCAAAAGAATGGCAGACTGAGGAAGGATGGGGAGTCTGCAGGCTCTTTTCTGTGGGTGTCTGTGTTTCCGGCACTCTCTGAGTGGCGCTGTGTGTGTGTGTTTAGCATTTGCCCTCCCAACTTTTCCAGATTTTACCCGTCAGATTCCTGGCAGCTGTGCACGGCGCCTGTGCCGGCCGTCACGTCCCATTCCGATCTCTGGGTCGCACGGTGAGAGAAGGACACAGGATGCGCAGGGAGTGAAAAAGTGATGTCGGTGGGGAGAGTGCCAAGTCCCCACTCACAGCCATGGGACGCTTGGGGAGAAGGGGGAAGCATGCTGCTGTGGAGTTCAGAGGCCGGTAGTGAGATTTATTTTTGTTTGTATGAGTAAAAAGCTGCAGAAGCCTCTGGTGGGGGTGAGGGGGTGCAACTGGAATGCTGTGATTCAGACAGACTGGCCCTGGCCTGGAATCAAGTGTGTTGACCCGGAAAGAGCGTTCCATAGGAACCCTTTTCACTGCAGCTAAGACTGGACCACAGTGGTCCTAGGACAGTGAACTGGGAAATCAAGGAAAGCGTGGACGCTTTAAATCAGTTCAGTGGCAATATGGCCCAAGTTGTCATAAAGTATGGAAGAGAGGAAGAACTTAATTGTTTCTGGAAGGTGCTAAGTAACCAATTATCTCTGAAGTATGGGAGCATCCTTGAGCAAGCTGGTGGGGTACTGAGAAAGAGATAATTCACATCTGAAGAGGAAACTAACAGCTTTGGGTCCCCAGGAGGGGCTCTTTTACAGGTTAAATTCCTTCTTCTAGACAGTGGGGTAATTTGGGGATGCTAACCCACTGAAAATTGAGATACTGATAATTAGAAATAAAAATAATGTATTAGCTCACACAGGAGTTGTGGAACTTGAAGAACCCAGGTCACAAAGCAGAGCTAGATCATGAGAAGGCCTCCTTAGGTCTTCCTTTTGCTTAGGGCTCCACAGGGAGTATGGCTGCTGCTTTCCCCCTACAGGGTGATGGAATCATTTATCCTTGGGCCTCTCTGGCCAGAGCAATGTCTTCATCAGAAATGAGAAGTTTTGTTAACACAGAAAATTTCCATGCTCACTTTGTATGTGAAAGTATCTAGCAAAGTGCCTGATTCACATATTAGTAACTTAAACGTCAGCTCCCTTTCTTCCTGCCCGGCTCCATTTCTCGTCTACTATATATCCAGGAAGGTAAATATCTGGAGAAAACAGGGAGCAGAGCTGGAGATGAGGAGGAGCCAGGCAGAGGATTGTTGATTTCTATTATGAGACTCGTGGTATTCTTGTTGTTTTAACTATGTGGAGATATTTTTTAAAAATGAAGAATGAAGAATGGAAATGAAATAAAAAATAGGAATAGTTGATAAGATAACCACCAACAGCACAGGAAGCAGCTCCTTCTTGAGCCACAGAAACCAAAGGGAGCAGATGCTGCATTTGCTATAGAAGCAGGTAGAGCCACTAACCTTCTCTGGAAGCGATGTGGTTAATCAGCACCTTCATCTGGGTGGCTGCTCATGGGAAATTTTCTGCTTAGGATCCCTTCTCCAGATGTCTAAAGTCAGTACCACAGAGCTTAACATACACTTGCTTTCTTTTTAAAAGTTATAAGTACGATAACTTGCTCGCTACTGATTGTTTTATGAAGACTGATCTTATTTTCAAACTAGACTTTAAGGAGCTCAAAAAGAACTGCCTTTTCTTGTAGTTTCTTTTACAATACTGAGCATAGAGTCTGATACAGGAGCTCAATCAGCTAAATCACAGAATCTCAAGATTGAAGGCCACTTTAAAAATAATCTGATGGACTTTTATTCGATAATTATTGTTCTGAGAATGCCCAAGAAGTGTGCCCTTTCCTGATGGAGAGGGAGTGGCAGGGCTAAGTGGCAAGATACCTCTGAACTTGCTCCAAACAGCAGCCTCAGGGTGTTCTAGCCAACGGGCTGACCATTCTGTAAGAGAACAGGACCCTGTGCATGCTGCTAGAGCGAGGGAGGTGAGAGAGGCTGGAGCAAACCAGAGGCCTAGCGCCATAGTTTGCGGAGAAGCTGGAACAGGCTCTGGAACGGGTTTGAGCGGGGAGGGCGGATGCCTGGCTCCACAGGCTGATGTGCTTTTCTGCCCTGGCGTGAACGTGCCCCTGTCCTGGTAGCATGCTGGCTCCCACTCTGCCTCCGACAGCTAGGAGCCAGGGCTGAGTGTCTGCCTTCCGCTAGCTTCCATACAGGTGTGGGGAGCTCTGTGCATGCCCCATTGTTCCACAGTGCGTACCTCCCCCACCATCCCCCCACCCCCCGCAGCTGGGTGGCAGCTTGAATGGGCTGCAGTTATATTTAGAGTGGAACTCCTAGGGCCACCACAAAGGAGTGACTGCATCTTCAGGAGGGTGGGT